TTAGTCGATTTTGCGATAGTGAGGTGGTGGTCTATGTCACTGTTGAGGTTAGCGGTGCATCGATATTTATGGCGGTCAGGTTTCTTGGATTGGTGAAGGTAGATTAAAAATTATAGTTTATGATGTTCCCGTGGTGTCTGATGTGGGTAGTCTTGTCTAAATTTTGATCTAAGTTTACCCTTTGAAATTTTAACATAAACAAGAGAAGAAAAAAACACAGCATCGGTGCCATTACACAACACTAGTAACATTCACTCACTTATCGTCACATAGTTACTGGAACTCCGTATATGGAATTCCACTGACCCTAATACCCACCAGATATAAAACACTAAGCTAGGGTAGTTAGAAAACTCGGTCCTTTGTACAGTGGACTTAATAGTATTTTACCTTTATTTTACACTTACAAGATTTGTAACTAAATATTTTGATCAAACAACTTCAAAACAAAGAAAGCTTCCTCTCTTATACATTCTGACTAAAGACCATCTTATTTTGGTCACGGCTGTGTTATTAAAAGCTTAGGTACGTTCCAATAAATTATGCTGATATTTTAAATTATTAACATTGTTATTTCGTATGAATGCTAATTTAAGTTCAAGACAAATTATTGTTCACGAGATACAAGTGAATTGATTGTGACAAACTAGATTAACGCGAGGTAAGCTCAAGTTAAAAGTTAGCCATCTCGTGAGACTGTACTTAATCAACACTCTCCACTTAAAAGCTTATAAAAATATTAACAACTACACAAGAGACTCAAGCGTTTCCGCCTATTAAAATGCATCCTTGACTTGTTGCAATGTTTGTATTGATTAACAGTCTGCGCATGAGTAACTTCGTATTTGAATGTTTAACCAAATAGGACTTATGGTATAATCTTGAGTTTATTTCTAAACGTAGCACAACACTAACAGTTGTATAACCAAAAAGAAAAGCAGAGACTTAGTAAACACCTGTATTTTATCAAAAAGTAATTTATTGCCATGAAATGAGCCTTCTCTATACCTAATGTAAAGCTTAAAATCCAAATGGTTAGTAGGTTTAGACATTAACACAGTAAGGCAACCGCAGTTAATAAAACAGAGGCACTTAGAAGCATAGATATTATGTAGGTACAATAAAAGAGCAGAACGAAGAAAATATTTTAAACAAAAGTTAACGAATTGTTTACTTATTCAGCAACTAAGGAGTAAATCAATCGTGGAGTAGTATCCTGCCTATCGTGCCTTTCATCGAATGCAGAAATTGATTATGAAACATGCCCAGTTTTTAGTAATTTCATTTAATAAGGAATATCTCACTACATAATTGTTTTTAACAATTAATAATCCTGATTTCTACTACTCCAATAGAATACCTATATAATAGTCCTACATTGTTCAAATATAGTTCGCATTGTGCAATCAACCAGCTTTACAAGACCTTCCCATACCTTAAGAAAATTTCTTAGAACAATAACATAATGAAGGTCGAGTCAGTTGGTTTACAGCACGCTAAAACATTAGCGACTGGGCGTTTTCTATTCGGTCCGACTTCGGGAATGTTCGGCTTCACTCGGTAGTTTTGGTCCCGCCTACTTGCGGGTGCGCATCGTGCTGTCTCTATTTCTCTCAAGTTGTCGCGTCAGTCTGTCTCGCGCAGTCGTCTCGGCAACACGCCACACCCACAGATCAACGTTAGGCTATTTTCCAATTATTACGTAGGAGCTTTTTGTGCGGAGATGCCAACAATGATAAGCTTTCTTGTAACAGAATGAGTGAAGTAATCGTTGTTTGTAACATAACATTTTGGTTCAAACACATTTTTACTAAAATTATTAGTACAACAATATTAATATTCATTAATTCAGGGTCACTAATTTAAAATACCTTACGATATTTTTTAAACAAAGATTTGTTGAGGTAAAAAAAAAAGTTAAAAGTTCACGTTCAAAAATAAAAAAGTGTATCTTATAAGTTGGGCTTGCTACTTTACTACCATTTTTACGGTCATTCGTAAATACCTGTATTCTAAAGGTAAGTGTCTATCTGTCGCCCATTGACAGGTGTCCATTGGCGTGGCATGGAGTTGCAGGTGTAACTCAAGAGTCACAGAAGCGTTGCTGCCCTTTGAGTCAGAATCAGATTGAGGGTTTAAGCCCGTGTTACCTCACTGACTCGGTAAAAAGCAACGTATATTTATTCTACGTCACCTGAAGGTCGACTGGGAGAGAATGCCTTGTGCATTAAGTTTAAATAAATAAATAAAAATATCGCTACCTACTTCATAGCATAACGTCTTCCATATCACTCTTTGTCTAATGCTTAAGTGCAATAAGAGGTAGGTACGTCCTTCTTGACACTGGCTTACTCGCCTGTTGGTCTAGTGGTTAGCACTCCCAACTGCTGAGCCAGAGGTCGTGGGTTCAAATAATTGTATGATAAATATGATTATTCATTCTAAGTCGGGGTCTTATTTATCCATAGGTAATATAAAGGTCATAAAAATAATGAAAGTGTTAACTTAACCAACTTACCTACCCAAACCTAAATTACAGTGTATTAAAGAAATTTGAAGAATTACGGAGCTACCTTCTTATACTTATTGGTATTTATATAATGAAGCAAAACCTTTAACAAAATTCCTCAGCGCGTCACAAAATAAAACAAAACAGTATCGGTACCGAACCATAAAAAATGAACAAAAAACTAGAATCGCAATTAACGGTATATTCAGTGATAGTTCACATCGGTAGCAGAACCTCCAAGCTATTAAATAACTTTTTTTAACTGACGAGTAAGAAATTAATAACATAAGTGGCGAACTTAATAGGCTCTATTGCTAAGTAAAAGTTAGAAAGCGGACCAGCATTGTTAAAAATGACAATTGATAAAAAAATATACGCCCTGACCTTACTTCTTATTTTGAACGAAAATATAACTAATCGATATCAATACAGATTTATCTAAGTACTATTGTGTATATTATGGAACGCGATTGTTTAAAAGTTAGTAATCACTACAAACTAGATAAAACATTACAGCAGTGCCTTCTATTTTTAGCTTAACGTTGTGATAAATCAAAACTAAATTAAGATATCAAACTAGATATTTCTACTTAGTGTAACCTAAATATTTTAACTTCACATTTAAATTGAGATTGTATTAGGTATTAGATATTAATCTTTGTCCAACTGAAAATATATAGCGAATTCATTACCTCTATTCATATCTAATATTATACTTATCGATGGTTAAAAAAATATTTGAATTAAAATATTATTTAAATAAACAAATCATCAAATATAAATAAGGGTTAGTATAGATAAAAACTAAACATGTTGTGTATCAATACTGTTTGTGATAATGCAAAAACAATGTCCAAAGATATAATATTACTTTAAAAATTGCCATATTAACCAGGATCAATTTATTAATTTAGGACACACCATTAAAAATATATCACTGTCTAACGAAACAAATAAGGCATTCAGATTTTAATAAAAAAATACAGACAACTTTAATAAAATACAAATCTTAAAAGAAATGTACTGACGTTAAAAATTACAAATAACTATTACGTCAAATTGCATTCTAAAATACAAAACGACATACACCAAATATGATGGTGAAAATGATAACATCCAAGATTAAATAACGGAAACGTAAAAATAAAAGAGTTTTAGTTGAGAAATGGCGATGGTCTCAGATTATAATTACGGTAGAACTCACTGTCGGTCACAACTAAAAACAAAAGGTAGGGTTACCAATAAACGAAATACACAAGATTGTAGTATTAGACAATATAAAGTATATTGTCTAATACTACAATCTTGCCTAAAGTAGAAAAATATTTCAACTAAATTCAAATAAGCATTTAGGAATAATTGATAAGCAGTTGTACAAAGGCTATTACAATTTACTCAACACCGTATTGTACATTAACTAACTTTTAGCTTTAACGAATTTACAAATACAGTTTACAAATACACACACATACACAAACAAATTTATAAAATACAATACAATATATTGATACAATTAAAACATATATAATTAAATCAACTAGATATGTATCTTAGACTGTTAGAACTATGAAACAGCTGTAAAATACCTTTATACAATACTAGCCCTTCCCCACAGTTGTGCACGAATTTATGGTCATTACACTACTACTAAGCGTCAAAGTGTCAAGTTATGAACTATACTAATACTCGTAGTACAAAAGTCTTCAAATGAAAAAATCTAAATTGAAAGAGACTACATATCTAACAAAGGTACGACCTACATTTTTCACTTAGTTCATGTTGCTGAAGTACTTCACTTCAGCAACTGCAGCTTTTATTTCAAGTCAAAATTAAAATTCTTTTCATAATATTTTGCAATAGGTAAATTAAATTATCTCTAAAAATGATCGCCAGCCCTACTGAAGCCCTGTGCGTTCCATGCTTTAAACTTAATAGCAATCTTTATAGCGCAATCCGGCCTCCGAATAGTGATGCTATCGGTCGATGTTCGATGTCGATACCATGTTATTACATTGTACAATTGCATATTACGACTTACATGCACAATTGTTCTTTGGCTGGCCTTTTTAATTGCTTTAATTTAAGTTTTTATACATAATTATCGTGTATGTCTATTAAATTATTATGCTGTATAAATCTATTTATTTATTTATTTTATTACTTATATCATTACATATGATGAGTAATTATAATTTGTCATAGATTCACTAAAAGAGTTAATTATGGCTTTGTTCTAAGTTTTCAGCTCTTATTTAGAGTATCCTATGATGCAACTGAAAATCTTTCGATTGATATTAGAAATTGTTGCGAAGTTTTATTTGACACGGTGTGTGCCTAAAATTTTTGCATATTCCAAAGAGAATTTCTGCTATGCATATAATATCCCAAAGCAAAATTACGAGCTAACAAAGAACACTTGAATAACTCAAGCGTTGGATCGTTACGTCGATAAACGTCCATATAATTCTAGCGAGAACGTGCTTGTCACAATTTATCGATACAGTGCATCACTAGCCGGGAGCAAAGGTTCGGCAGAGGGCGCAGGCATCAATTTGCGCGCGGTAGCCGCCGCGGGCGCCGCGCCGCCCCTGTCATTAGCCCCTCTTCCCTCCTTAGCCCCTCGATTTCCCTTCTCGACCTCAGGGGAACATACTTTAACCTTTTTTGCTCCCCTGCAACCTGTTCGGGATGCGGCTGCTGCGCGCGCGCTACGAACACAGTTCATGGCCACGGGCTATACGCAGTATCAGCAAAATAGGGCTGACAACAGTTTAGTTTTAGTGAAAATATAAGATGAAATAATAGAGAAAACCATTATATATGTTGTTTTAAATGTTTTGTTACCCAAATTTTATTTAGGATAATAATAAATGAAATAAAAGCTATTCATTATATGATTGACGGGAATGGTTTCAAACTCTCTTAATATACAAGGTATACAAGGTACACAAGGTATTAAGCTAGACTTGTAATACTAATAAGTGTTAAGGTGTAATTTTAAGAGTTCTTTAAATCTTTTGTAATTTATTTTTTCCAAAAATAATGCGTGTATTATCTATTGAATAGCTTATTATCTTTAGTTCTTTGTTTTAAATATCCGAATTCCTAAATTAGAGAACCTTCCTTTCAACTCTATATAAACTTATAAAGATCTGTTAACATAATATAAAGATATGTATATTACTTTTTATATTGAAGACAACAACGTAAAATCAATTAAAATGTCCCCAGTTACGAGAGCCAACCCTAAACCTCAACCTGTTAAGTGCACGGCGCGCGTAATAACGCAGGTCCGATGTTAGTTATCGTCCACTCCCACAATATGGCTGGCTAAAACAACCACAACTGCTTACGTGATAATAACCAATTTATATTGCCCCAGCTGCCATCGGGAATCTCGATATGACTATGTATAACTAACTACCTTGACAATGTTTTGTGGAAATTGCATTACAAATTAATTCTACACCTGATAGGAACGAAATAATGGTATAAGAGGCAACATAACCTTACTATAACAGCAAAGTCACTAGCTTATAATTTGGGAGAAAAAAATAGCAACCGGGTATGACTTTTTGACACTTATTACAAAGTTATTACACACTAGCTGGTATTTTGTTCGCCTCTTGTGAAATGCTAAGTAAGACTCAAGGGGATTTGAAACATATTATAATTAAAATAATTCAGGTAGGAAAAATTAAAAGTCCTTGATCAAATCCACGTAGTTGACATGTAACTTTTCCATAAATGAAATGAACTACAACACGAGTTTACTGATAAATACTTCTTTATTTTAGATCAGAAAACTGTATTAGAAGCCAGTTTTAAAACGTCTTTATCACCTGATTATAATAATGATAATGATACATAGTGAAGAAAAGAATTTCTTCAGACAAGCTTATCTTGTCAATACATCAAGACGGCACGTAGACGCAAATAAATAAGCACCGTCTACTCTCCTTTGACTTTGAACAGTCAGAGATAAAAAGGTCAAAACGAAAACAGACCCGCGTCTGTTCCCCGAACCAGTAATTTGAGCCACAATTAAACAATTTTCTCGAATATCATTCCGCTTCATTTAAACGAGCGGCGGGTCACTCCTGACCCGGGGGCACAGACATCGAGGTCCCGGACCGATTCCGTGGCTCCTCAAACCCCATTAAACATAAACATGCCTCCAAACCACTTTCCGACGATCTTTCGTTCCACTTTATTTAATTTCGAAACATTAGAACGTGAAGTTTTCTAATCTTACTAGCCGGCGGAATAGTTTCGCATTTGCATAAAATTAAATTTGCTCCCAAGACCAGGATAACGCTAATGGCTATTCAAAAGGAACAAAACGAGCACCGCAAATTGACCTGTCCCTCAACACCGCCCGCGGCCGCCGCGCCGCAGCCTTCGCAGCCGACGACCTGTCGCCGCTAAATAATTCCGTTCCCATCATCTAGCCAGTAGCTATCTCACTTTAATTATTCATAGACTTTTTTATACGCTATCGCTTTTTACCGCTCGACGGCCGGTCGAAGCCTTATAAAATTAAAAAATAAAATAATCGAACGTCGGCGCAATTTAAAAAAGAAATAAGTCGGATGACACGGATCGAACTCCGGGCAAATGTCGCGCGGTAAAAAGTGGTCGAGCGTTGCAGTGAGAGGAGATAAGGGGGACGGGATGTGGTGCGGAGAGGTGCGGGGGCACAGGACGTCACGTAGGCGGCGTGGTTTTTGTCAACGTTCCCGCGGAGATGACAGGTCGCTGGACGCTGTACCGCGACCTGTCTGCGCAAACGGTCTTGATGCATTTAATTTAAACGGACAACACAATTACCACAAAACGCTTGTTCGTAACAAAGTAGACCAGATGTTTGTGCACAGCGAATGCTCGTGGCATCCTTATCCGGTCGAATGGCTATTATTTTAAGTCTTATAACTTGAATTCGTCAGTTGAATACTATAATTAGAGTAATGGACACACACTTGATCTCTGGTATTACGAAGCTTGACATAGTTCCGAGAAACTATAGTGTTACTAGGTAGTAGTTAATGTAGTACCTGCCTATACCTACTATTAAAATAAAAGACTTGAGGACAAGTTATAAAGCGGTGTAACGAAAGTATCAAGACATGTTGAACCTGCAATTAGTGGAGATTGTACAACGACAGGTGCTTTTGCCGGGAATGCGTTTATGTCTAATAATAAACTCGTAAGACCTTGTAATCCACAAATTATTTGGATCGAAAAGTTCATAATCTTAGATTAAGTTTGTTAAAATATATAATAGTCTAAAATTATTTATTGGTTATATCATGACGTATGAAAATAAGGTCTATTAAAATGTATTTCATCACATAAAAGTTTGTCAGCCATTTATACATTATGGTTCATGGTTCAATTATTTATTGGTTATTATAAAATAACGTGCACTCGAATAGTCAAGCTCTATGGTATTTGCGTAAAGGCAGAGGTTATCCTTTAAAAGAACGATGTTTCATTTGATGTAATCAGCATTTCAATAAGCTAAGCAATGTAAATAAAATGTTAGATATTAATATTATATTACGCTTCGAGTTATTGTACCCCTTTTTTTAATGATCGTTTAAATTTAAACGAATTAAAACTGTTTTTTGAATATCGGAATACTTAATACTCGTAGTAGAATATTAAAATAACTCGTGACATGAGTTAATCAGTTAAACCCATGTCACGCATTAAATCCTGAGCTTTGAATATACCCGTGGTAATATATTTATCACTTTTTATTTTATTGCGAATAAACTAAGAAATCTGAATAAAGATCATATTTTTCGCCCCTCGATTAAGAAAATTAGTTTCAACCGTAGAAAAAAAACGCAAACACAAATATTCTTGAGAAGCTATCTTGTAAGCTTGTAAACATAAAGAAATAACTGTCGAGACATTTATTTCCTCACGAGGCTTACAGATAGACTTAAGTAAAAATATCAAAGTGACATATTTTTTCTTTTACAGAATTTCCGTGAGCAAAGAATCGACGGCGCTGGTTTGCCTCTACTCACAGAAGACCACCTCACGGGCTTGTTGCAAATGAAACTGGGCCCAGCACTAAAACTACGAGCAGTTTTAGTTCGACGGCTGGAACCTTGCTCTAATTGCCAAACAACAATCGCCAACAACATAGCCAACAACTTGGTAGCTAACTCATCATCGAGCATGGCTCCAAAAATAAATGGCACAGCGATGAAACCAGAGCCTCGGAGTAACACCACCAGTCCCAGTTAGGACATGTTTTAAATTTAGAATGTATTCTTATTCATATTGTTCCTGTTAAAGAGTTCTTTGATGATATAGAAAGTGAACTATAAAATAAAGTGGTAAATATCTTTCAGCACACAAAAAAGTTACATAGTGTACATCTGTTATAGTATGGATCTGATGAGAAGTGATGATAGCAGCGTAAAAATAAATGTATTAATAAGTAGTTTAAAATCAAGTTTGATAAATTTTATAGAATGGCATGCATGATGGCAGTGAAGAGATGAGGAATATTTTAAGGAAAAAATGTATAATCGATGCGTTCATCGTTCCGTCAAGTCCTTATTGGTATAATAAAACTTTTTGTGATATAGGTATATATTCTATGAAATCAAAGAGCGATACATATGAGACACAAAACTCAAAACCTCGATGTTATTCATTGAAGGGAGAAAAGTGAAACATTTGTAATTTTAACCAGTTATTATAATGTGACCCGTTTCAAAACAATATGTTTAACATTCATAATAATAGGTAGTAGATTAATTTTTATTATAGTAGTCATCTTCCAACATTCGTACGGTCTTCCAGTTCGTAGATTTTGCATTTAGTTACTACATGTAGGATGCTTTAGTATACATAACTACATTATAGTCATAAGTTGTTTGTTTTGTATATAAACGTTTTGCCGTCCAAATGTTTTAAATGAAATACTTGCATAACAAGTATGTTTGTATGTTAATTATTAATTGGTCCGTAAATATGGGGCCGGTCTCGGAAAACGTCAACTATGGCCCTGATTGAGTTTTATGATTATACAAAAATATTTACGTTATTTACAACGAAGTCGATATCGGTGCTAAGACCCTGTGAAACTTAAATATTATTGTTTATATAGCCTTTTTTGTAAAAATATATTGCTTAAATAAATCGAGGCTAATAATTATATCGACAGGGTTACAAAGTTTAAAAGTTTGTATATAAATAAAGATATACAATAGTTTTATAGATGTATATATACGTGCAAATATACATAGTAGCACCTACATACACCACACCTGAAGAAAGCTCAGTTAACCGTTTTGCAGATAATGTTTGTAGTATAATGTTATCTATTTAGTTGTATAAACTTAACTTCACAGTGAGCATAATATCCTGTTTGTAATTATTTTTCTCAATAATAAATGTGTTATGGCGACTGAATTGAGCATAACTGACAAAAAATATATATAGGCACAATATCCTGTTGTATTTACTTTAATTTCAAAGCACATATACTCGTGTTTATTTCAAAATGCATTGTGGCTATTTAAAAATGCCGTTTATGCTGAATATTATTTCATTGTCAGTTAAGCGTTGACGTCACGAATAAACAGCCTTATTATACAATATTATCAATTATCTTATTATTTAATGTACTTTCAAGACATAACAGCATCGTCGATTGAAAAATAATAAGGCTTCGGTTCGGTTACAAGTATTCGTTTATAATAAAACTAGGTAGTGTTATCTGCAATTGTAAAAGAAGTGTTTTTTCCTGTGGTAATCTCCTTAATTGCCAAAATAGTATGTTAAATAAACAATACACGTATTTAGTAGATAAAGCAGGTTACTGGAAATTTCCACTTACATCCATAGTATTCCTTACTATAACGCGGTGTAATGTTGTCAAATTGTAAATATATTTTCTATACTATTTTTTTTGTCTTTGAATATGTCTCTCTGGTTTAAATGATTATTTCGAGAGTTTGTAACATGAAAAAATTATCTAACTTGAATACGGCTTTATAACCTCTCTCTTACTAAAAACATCATGGCCAAATATTTGTACTTAACTAAATTGTTTGGCTTAGGGATGCATCATATAAAGTTGCTGATTTAAGTAAGCCTAAAAATATTTTACCAGCCGTTAACGTTAACCTTCAAAGGGTTACTGAACATAGGTAAAATACATTTTGTAATAGGAATAACATTTTATAACAATAACATGAATATTATAAAGCTAATCACGATTAGCTTTAAATCAAATCAGCAACATTTATTGATAACATCCGTGATTTTTGACATGGTTTTTGAACGCTGTAAAGTTTAAACAATTGTTTTAAATGGGTTGTAAAGTCGGAAATTTTACTCCATCGCTTATATCAATACGAATGTAGAAAGCGATGCGGAAACCTCTTCTCAAGTAATAGAGGATACATTAATATTTTGATATGATAATGATTGAAAAAAAATGTTGTGTAAAAATATTACTCGTCATATAAAGTCCTGAGAACAAAGATTAGGTCACAAGTGGCCTTATCTATACATAAAACTATTATAATCTATATGTTATCAAATCCAAGGTGCTATTTTGGTTAGATCAATAAACACTGTGCCTTAACGGTCTTCCTTTAAATTAGAATTATAATACATATTTTTTATAATAATGATAACATATTCAGAGTATTACGGTTCGACGCTTTAAATTGGACGATAATAATACAATTATAATAATAGATTCTGAATGCTTGACGTATTATTGTTTATAAGTGTTATTATAACAGAACTATACAGGGTTCCTTTTTTGTCTTATATGTATTTTCTGAACGGTATATGCTTTTACTGACAATAATTGGCGTGTTCTTACTCGTTGATTACCGAGACATTCTAGGTCTTCATAGAAATATCGGTGTTTACGAGTCTATTCTGGGATGTACTTTATATTTTAATTTCACGCTCTAAACATTGGTCACGGAAAAGTACGTATTTCTAATCGTTACATAAATATTAGGCTTATTTGTCATCGAATCGAATTCAATCGAATAATTGAATTTTTTCACGTAGGTACACATGTACGGTTGCGTTCATAAGTCCAGTACTACTCTTACGAAGTTAATTCCAAAGTAACTTTTTGAGAGTTTATGGAATATGATTTTAATAAGTGTAGTATTGAAATGAACGTCGAAGAATAACAATATTCAATATTTTTAACTAGTAGGTAGTCACCCAAAGTCACTGAACAATACGAATTTACTGACATAGATTGAACAATAAATATAGGACATAATACGAATTGACAAAATTTCTAACTTAGATTAGTGAACTTAGCTAAGTCGGCCACACACGCTAGGGTTTACCGTTTACCCATTGCTCCGTGGTAGGCTTACGGAGCAATGGGCCTGTGCCTGGTTTAGATGTGCCTGTAAAGGCAAACCTGCACAGGTAGACCTCTTCGGTAAACCGTAGCGTGTTTGGCTCAAACCGTCACCTTTCGTGTTCAGTGATTAATCTCTCAGTCTGAGCGAGGTAATCGTGCTATCCTGCTACTGGTTCTAAAGTATTGAATTTTGAAAACGATGCAAAAGTATCGCTTCCATTTCAGTGAACATGACGGTGGGACTGCACCTATGACCGTTGACTGTACATGGCAAAATTCATATTGTGTACCTTTCAAAATGCCATTAAATTGAAAGTTTCATGTTAGAATCATTATTATTCTCTATGATAATGCAAGAGTACGGTCAAGTTTAGATGAACTCAATGTAAATTAAATAAGTCACAGAGATAGTTCAAAAAATTTGAAGATCTAAAAGCAACCCTGAATAGCTTTGATTACAGCTTTTATTACGTAACTAATGTCGTAATGGTCCAGTGACTTATGAGTTATGATAGTGTGTGTAAATTTGTACCTATAATTATTCTTTATTAAGTACCTACTATACAAAAATAATGATAAATGATTTAAACGAGTTAGTTTTCTACTTTACAAGAATGGTTTTCGTTCATATAGTTTCAATATTTGCAAGCATGTTTGCGAATTAAATAAAACAAGACTTGGTTTATTATTATTTTTAATGTATAATTATTGTGTATAACAAGGGTTTTAGTCACTTTGTTAGTTTCCTTGCGAACATTGTACTTAAAGAATTAGCTTGTTTAGCCGATCGTTCGATCTGCCGACGTTTTACAGCGGTTTCGCACTACTTCCTATCCGAATCCGATCCGAACCCGTAAATATACGGAACTAGAAATCTCGGGGGGTGAATTCGAATATTGCTTTTTTGCACTAGCTCCGATTTCTAAATTTAATATAGGGGCCACTTTTTAGCATATGTCATTTTACGCGGAGTTTTCACATCATCGATCATGAGTCCTTTCAATCGCCGTCAACTTCTGACATTGTACGTACGAACGACACAAAAGAAGTAAAGAATTTTGGGTGCGTTGGGTGGGCTACTTTGTTCCGTCAATAATTTTGTCCGGAATGGAGATTCACGCATAACGGCAAGAAATCAGATGACGGAAGTCGGATCTAGTGTGTAATCTATCATAGAAATAGTTCTACGACTACTTCGGACCGAATTTTCACGGGTCCGGATCGGATTCTGATCGGACGTAGTGCGAAGTCGCTTTTACGATTAATTTATATGAAGAGAAATAAAGGCGACAATTTAATGAAACTAATTTATTGTTTTATTTGTTTCTAAATTATGCATTTTGGCGGACACAACTGGATAAAACGAAAGCAAAGTATTTATTTTACCTAATGGTATTCCAGATACCTTCAATATCAATAGGAATTAGCCACTGAAATACCTATAGTCCCACTCCCCCCATAAGTATTTCAGAGGCTAATACATTAGTGCAGTTATAAAGCATCAGTAAGGACAATGATCCATTACTATCCTTACTGGAACTACTATGAAAGAAGTGGAAATTAACAGTTCTGTCCTAAAAAATAAATGCATTTAGACAACTTCAAGCTTTTTAAGTCAACGTTCATCAACAATGTCACAAGTATTGTGATTTTGATTAGACCTTAAAACTTGTATGCCCATACCAGTTTTAACTTTTATCTCCTCTTTATGATCAATCATTATTTCAAACCAGCTTGATTGCATTGAACCGTATCATATCATTTTAATATTAAATAACCGGTTGCAACTAATACGTAACTATAAGATACATTTGCATATAACCCCTTTTTAACCAACATCAAAAATGAGGATGTTCTCATTCTACTCTTACTATTTGTGCTTGCTATATGTAACGTTTCCTTATTTCTAAAGCAAATTAAAAGTACTTTTATTGGATTAGTTGTACCTACAAGATTTGGCTCATTAAATTCAACTTTTAAAAGGTAGAAAATTAAGCGATGATTAATACGTCTCAATAAAACTACCTGGATTTAGTAATCCCTAAACCGTAAATATAGAACTGAGAAGGACTGTTTAAGGATATTTAAAAATTAAGAAAGAATTTAAACATCATACATGACAACACTCATTCATTCATCAGTACGGGTTTTGGAGTGTTAGATTCAAGATGTTGCATTTCTTTAAAATGCCCATGAGTATCTTTTCTAAAATAAAGTTTGAGCGGTCTTTTCAACATGGTAAGACTATATGTCAATTTGATCAAAGATGATGTACCTAGTGGAACTTTTCTTAGAATGAGCTGATGCTGCACCGGTAAGTTTATCTTATAAGCTACCCTCCATTTTGGGTATCTGGTTGGGTGTTTCTTGTATCTGGATATAAGAAATCGCCAACCAGAATGAATACTCATCTACTTTCCTGGGAAAGATGATGAAAAAAAATGAAATGCCGTTAACTTTGATAGGTAACAACTCACTTAGCTTTGATCACGTTGATAGCAAGTTTTAAGTAACAACATGATTGTTTTACAAGTATACCAGGTATATTATACAAATAACTATATATACATGTGCTTAATTTATATACACAATTTCAATGAAAGTCTGAATTTCCCTAAACAAAAAACCAACGCATTTTATTTTCATACTAAGGCGTCAAACGAGGGCTACGTCTAGTAAACGTCAACCGGCCGAGCCGTTTGCGACAAGTAAATCCTGTTCAGGTTAGGTTAGTAATGTTCCATATGTTAGTTGCTTTTATATCTGACAGACAAATTATTCTCAATATTGAAGTGGTTTTTTTGATGAAATATTTGTTTTTATTTTACCTCCCAAATCAAGTATAGTACAAGGCCAAAGTTGACAAACAAAATCCCTTAATTCCTGTGACACCACTATCCAGGGGGCAAGTGGAAAGGTTGGATATGTCAGAGCAAAGAAATTTACTTTTAAATACTTTTATTAAAATTGATTATAAAAAATATTTGAATCTAAGTAATACAAGACTACTTGCTAGGTTTTTTTTAAATCTATACATATTATATTCATATAAAATCTAATATTTTTTCTCTATCCGTTATTTGAAACTGTATGATTGTCTGAAATATAGCTTTATTAAATTATTATCAACGTGAAACTAGTGATTAGGTCACAGTTCTCTTGTATATAAAAATAAGACGATTATAAATACTACTTTAAACTATTAACAAATCTTATTTTCTTAGTTATAACAAACACAATACCTAAATGTATATTTATACCTCGTATTACCTAGCTACATCTAACACAGTGAATACTCATTTAAAACAGTGATATTTTCACAACAAAAATACGAAAAGTTCAATAAAGCGATGCCTGCAATGAGGATAACATTTTTCGTTTTCCATGAACCCATCTCTTTAAGTGGGCTCAATGTTTAATGGCCGTCGGTTTCACAGTTTCTGGGATTAGTTTCTGTACTAAAAGACAGTATCACATGTCATTTGGTGACCTCGGTTTAGCCCAACTTACAAAACTATTTACGAATTTATTTATTTTTATATATATATACATATATTCACAACGGTTTCTCTCAACTGAAGAAAGATTATTTAAATATAATAGAATCGAAAATATTCAACCATCAAAGTTTTACAGGACTAAACTGGTTTCATGAAAAACATATTATTACTTACCTTAGGTTACCACTTCTACTAACAATATTCAAACATTCAAAGTAAAAATAAATTAAAGAATTAAAAAGGTATTTCTTAAACGAGTTTGCAAACCGTTACTATTCGAACCTAACATAATAATAAATTAAACGTTATAGTTTTAATGCAAAGGTTCCCGCTCGTGGTCTTCTTTCTCCTGGACTAGTGCGAAGTTTCTCTCGAGGTGATGAGCTTTCTTCACCTTGTACTCCATTACCTCAATCGTGGTGTACCCAATGAATCCAAGCAGTAAGAATCCCAGGAGAATATAAACTCTAAGACAAAAAAATTAAAATGTATTGTATATATGTTGAAGGAGAACCACAATTGAATTCTTATGTTAGCGGGAGCCTTAACATAAACTGGAGATAACTCAATAATAAATTAATATTTTTATTGTCACATTCCATAGTCCATAATTCACGTAGGTAGAAAAATATCTAAACTAATCTGAACTGAGATGGGAGCGAGACGGAAAAATGTGTAACAATACTTTTCCGATACTTCTCGTCCCAGATCATTCAGTGTTCAATGTATCATTATTTATTTTATACATAATAAATATGTTTTATCATATTTTTTTCAATTTAACTTGATAGTTTTTATGTAAAGAATAGTTTTATTTAACATTTTTTCTAAGTCGCCTTATCAGCAACAATTTGGCTTTTTTAAACTATTTCTTTTTTTGATTTGTTATCACGAAAAATCAAATCAATGGGTATTTTGATTTTTTTCTGACACAATTAAAACTTCTGCTCTTTTACCCACTACACTAGTTTTACTCTTTTATGGTGGGTGCATAAAAGAAGTAAAACTCAAGCAAATCTATTGACAAATATGAAATTATGTTAGATGTAACGCACGAGAATATTCTTGTAGTAGTCTATTTCTAATAAAAACTTGGAACTTGGAAACTTGGAAACCTTCTTGGGCTTTGTTAAGGTTGATTTTCTCTAACGTAAGTTCCTTACTGACCTAGTCCTGACGCATAAGTAAGGCGCTGTGGCGTAAGAGAGCACACTCCCGGTCGCCTCCCACAGCCGGAAATTTGAGTACGCAGCTTCTTCGTTACCGGGAAACAGGATCCCTGATAGTGCTGCAAATTATATTAAAATATTTCCATAAACAAATTTAACCCTAGTGAAGGTTTTGAGAACACTATAACAGGACAATCAAACAGAACAACGAAAAAATATTTACACCATCTTTATATTATAAGAATAAAATAAAAGTATATGTTTACAGAAAATAGATCTAATAAACACACGATAATAAAGAAATTAAGTTAACAATGTTAAAATATGTAAGTAATATTAGGTATATTTTAGCGTTTGAGACTACTAGCGCCATCTATCGACAATTTTGAATACCTATAGTGAAGTCGTAGAGTTTGAAAAGAATTAAAACGTAATTTTGTGAGTTTTATTGATTTTATTTGTATAGAAACCCATTTTTAGTACTGAGCAACTTGTTTTGTAAAGTTTTGATAACATATTTACCATTTACTTGCACAAGCCATACGGCATCCGCAGTTCCCCAAATTGCTGCGAGAGCATAGAACACCAGCCATTGGTTAGGATCGGGACGCCAGGACAGTAAAGCTATCAGAAGACATAAGTTCAGCAACTGAAAGATAAGTTATACAAATTGTTTTCTTACTCATTAAAATGACTCCAGGAAATAAGCTGCAAAAGGAACTTAATACGTTGAATAAATATTATTTAGAGGACTGTTCCTTTTATGTCTTTAATTGTTATGATTTACAAAACACTTTAATTAAGGTTTATTTTATTATAATATAAGAAAAAGGAAGAATCATTAGTAATTTAAGCATTTTTATTGTTTAAATTAATTTTATATATATATTATATAATACAGTAGGTGGATATATATCTCAGGTCTATATCCCAGGTAGATAGAAGTTTAAAATCACCCACTTTTCGCAATTAAACCTATTTCATTTTTAGTCATGTGTTAGGGGCAATCCTATTGCACCAGGGATTTCCTTTCTAGGGTATACCTGGTTCCCCGGCTATTAGTACCCGAGACGGCGTACGGTTTTAGTCGGTTCGAGTCCGACATGCCACCGACAGGTGGTATCCGAGGGGATTTCCGCACGGAAAAAAAAAGGGGCAATCCTATCACTAACTTAATAAATAAAAAAAGAATAACTTTCACAATTGTAGGACATAGACCTGGAATTGTTTTATTAGGTTTTCCAAATTATCTATTTAAGGAAATAATTTACATAATCTGGTTGTACTATGTTTTGTGTAGGAGGGCCAAAAGGTGGCGTGATATTATGTTGGATTCGAACCAACTAATAACACACAGTTTTCCGGCATCGGATCTTATTTTCGGTTTTGAGTATTACCACACTATCTAATATATAAATATCTCATGTCACGATGTAAATTTGTTTCTTTTTTTGTAAATTTGGTAGGTATGAGAATAGGTCATAGTATTTTTCACCCTCCTACCCTCACTCCTAAGACACAGTCAAGTTGCGCGGATCAACCAGTATTTTGATATAATACACATTTCTGAAACGTCATAGGACAGAAATATGAAAATTATTAAAACAAATCTTTTTTTAGTAACATTACGAAATATTTGTTCACGTTTGTTTATTTGTACAAAAAAAAAAAACAAAGTATTTTCATTAAACGCCTACTTAAGGAAACTGAGCAATGTAACTTACCAGCGCGGTGACCATAACTGGAAACCTTCCTGTGACCTTGACGAGAGTACCAGCGACCGGCGCCGCAAGTGCATTGAACACACCAAAGCAGATCATCACAAAGCCGATGTTGCTGATACCGTACGCGCAACCAATGAACGCCTGTTGATAATAATGCAGCAATATTACTGCAGCAATAATGCAGCAATAGAACAGCATCCATGAATGGTAAATTTTAACACAACAATAAAATAACAACTTATAACACTCATACGCATAGCCCGTATTATGGCCAACAGCGCCATATAACCACCATATTAAAATACTAATACATCAGCGGATACGTACACAGTAGGTAATCGCCTCCAGATGGTTACGACCATAAGTACTGTATCAATGTAAAACCTGAAAGTTATTTAAGCCGCGAAATTTTTAAAATTGCAAATATTGCTCAAAAGTTTTAGCTTCTATACATGAAATAAAGTTAAATTTTTTATTGAAAATGCGTACCAAGGTTATGTACTTTTAACGTTTTTTTTTATGTTAGAGGGGGCAGACGAGCGGACGGGTCACCTGATGGATAGTGACCATCGCCGCCCATAAACGTCTGCAACTCAGGAGTCACAAACGCGTTGCCGGCCTTTTAGGAAGGAGTTCGCTCTTTTGGACGGAATTTAAAAATATCTTTATTTGATTGCTCAATTCTAGAATAAGGTTATACGAGGCATGCCTTTTAAGTTTTGTGAAAAAACACAACTAGAACCTTATAGTACTTTTTATTGTTTATCAAAGTATTCACCACGTAGCTTAATACACTTTTCCATTCGCTCAAACCAGTTATTATAATATTTATTCCACTCTAAAGTGGGGGTGTTCAAAATGACTGACTTGAAAGAGTCGACTGCTTCTTCACCGGACTGAAACCTATAACCACGAAGACTTTTCTTAATTTTAGGAAATGTAAAAAATCGTTAGGGCTTAGGTCAGGACTGTATGGAGGATGGTCAAGAATTTCTACTTTTTCCTGCTTCAAATACTCAATCGTTTGACGAGCGCTGTGTGAACTTGCGTTGTCGTGGTGCAGGATGATGCGTCACTTTGAGTTAGATTTTCGAAGTTCGGCGATTACTGTGGTATACCACTCTGCGTTAACCGTTGCACTATCTTCAAGAGCAATAGTCCCAACATGGCCGGTTTTTTCAACGAACGTGGCCACCATCTTCTTTGAAGTGCTTCGAGAACGAACAACTTTAGTCGGCTTTGGCTCGTCTTGAAAGACCCAGATTGTAGATTGTTGTTTGGTATCAGGATCGTAGGCATAGATCCAAGATTCGTCACCACTGATGATGTCGTAGACGTGATTTGACTCTCCTCGGTTGAACCTTTGCAGAGCTTTCTTACACCATCTGACGCGGGCCGCCTTGTGATCGTCGGAAAGCAGATGCGGTATCCAACGGCAAACTAGCTTTCTCACACCAAGCGCTTCATGCAATATCTTCTGAATGGTTGTCCCTGAGATGCATAATAGAGCCTCTATCTCTCGATACGTCACATGACGATCTTCGAAAATTAGTTGTCTCACAGCAATGATGTTATCTTCAGTGAAGGCGGATTTTGGGCGTCCTTCGCGAGATTTGTGACTAACACTAGTATGTTCACGCTGGAATTCTAAATACCAGCGTTCGACAGTCCGCAAAAATTGGACTACATCACTGAATACAGATGTTAGCTCTTCAAAACACTGAAGCCGTGTCAGGCCTCTTCTAAAGTTGTAGAAAATTATTGCACGAACATTTTCCTTAGAAAGATTCATTTTCGTACGTAACCTGACAGGTTCCAATCGACCCTGTGACTAAACAATAGCATTAATCCTAATACTTTCAACTGTTTTGAGATTCAAAATTTAAACACATTCGAATATAGAATAATTCCAAATTCAAAATTGCCTGGAAATATGGAAACGACAGAACTTAAAAGGCATGCCTAATAGGTCAACATTATCCTGCGACCCTGAGTAGTTTTATTTTTTAGAATGTTGGATATTTACTCAATTAAGCATATTAGTATAATATATTAGTAATCGCATCTATATAGGAATAAAAAGTTCAGAGTAATATTAACAGTTATAAAAGAAATGCAGTTTTATTCAAATGTCGTACTCGGGCTACCCTGAACATTATCGGAATAATATTTTAGGACATCTTACACACAACGCCATCTAGTTTCAAACTAAGCAGAGCTTTTATTATGAAATCTAGATTGACTGATAGAATACTTATATACTTTTTGTAAATACCTACATACTAGTATTATACATAGAAAACACCCATTGCACAGATATTTGCAGATCATACAAACATTTGGTCCGACCCGGGAATCGAACCCGAGACCTCAGCACAGCAGTCGCATACGCTATTAGTATACTATATATATATATTATATTATTATTTTTTATTGACTATCTATACTAATATTTTAAAAAGGTAAAGTTGGTGAGTTAGTATGTTCGGAGTAATCTACGCAAGTACTGATCAAATTTTGAAAATTTGAAAATTTCACTTTTAGAAAAGTATATTAACCATAACTGCTATAGACTACTTTTTATTTTGCTGAATATTATTTATAATAATTAATCATAAAAAATCTAATTGAAGTCGGCAAAAATACTACTCGTATAACATCGCAAGCGCGGCCTGAACGGTTTGAAATAAAGGAATAAAATCTAAGACAAAAACATTCAAGCAAGCTTGCGACACCATATACCTAAGATTAATATCTCACCCTAAAAGATGGTTTTTGTTAAAAGTAAAATAAATTTTATAAGATTAACAAGATTAAGTTTAGATACATGTTTTCACGTATAATTTACAAATTCTTATAAAACATGGACATTTCCTGAAGATAAAGTGTTTTTTTCAGCATGTTAATTGATGGAGTTGGTCAGAACATAATGAATATTAAAAACAATAAGCCGGTCAAATTATGGCGTTGTCGCTAAATAGTAGGCGGGGCTCAACAGTAAGAGGCGCCGAAAGAACAGCCTTACTAAAATGTGTTGAACAGTTTAAACGTTAAACAAACAAATATTGCACACGTGCGAAGCCGGGTTATGTAACTTATGTAAACATACCTAAGTACCTACTTACTTATCAAATTGCTTCTAACACTCTAATTTACAATGGTAGTAGTATTTTAATGGGAGTGTCGATACTATGAAAGGAAGTATTTAATTCACTTGATTTTTTCGTTTGTATATTGTTTTTGTATTATGTTATTTACATAGATAATATTATAATATATTCTAATTCAACTAAACAACCAGAAAATATAGTGCATAGAAATACTATTATTATCGTATCGAATTGAGTTAGACTATAGCTAAGTATTTAATTATGATTATGTAAATATGTATGTATGGTGTAGTAGATATAACAAATTTTTGAGTTAAATATGCACCTATACATTCAGTCAAAAAAGTATCGGGAATGAGTGATTTGTTTATGGTTTCAAATTCAATTTTTTTTTTGTTGTTAGATTGGCACAACTGTTTTCCATTTTGGCGCGGTTTTTCCAGTTTGAGTTGCATCTGTTATTTATATTACATACAGTGCTGTTTTTTGTTATACCATATCTAGTATGTATTGCGAATTTCATAATGGACAAAAACATCGAACAAAGAGTATGTCTTAAATTTTGCATCGCCAATGGAATTTTGTGTTCAGAGTCACTGAAAATGTTACAGAAGGCTTACGGTGAATCGACTTTATCAAAAACACGTGCTTATGAGTGGTACAAAGAGTTCAAAAGCGGTCGAGATGTGATGGAAGATTTGCCTCGCTCTGGTAGGCCATCAACGTCTGCAACTGAAGTTAACATCGCAAATGTGAAGGAAGTACTCATTTAACTTTGAGAGAGATAGCCGCCGAATTTTCTGTATCTCACGAGTCGATCCGTACCATTTTAACTAATCATTTGGGTATGAAACATGTTACCGCTCGGCTAGTTCCAAACGACCTGAATTTTCTCCAAAAACTCAATCGTCCCTGAGGACATGCTAGAACGAGTCAATTCCGACCCAACATTCATGAAACGCATTGTCACTGGTGACGAAACGTAGGTATATGAGTTTGACATGCAAACTAGTCAACAAGCTTCGGAGTGGCGCCTTCCAACTGAACCGAAACAAAAAAACTACCCCAAAGGCGATCAAAAGTCAATGTCATGTTGACTGTTTTCTTTGACTATCGTGGTGTTGTGCACTCGGAATTCTTGCCGGAAGGTCAAACGGTAAATAAATAATTTGAGCGTTATGCGGCATTTAAGAGAGCAAATTCGACGAAAAAGGCCAGATTTGTGAAAAGAAAATTCTTGGATTTTGCACCGCGATAATGCGCCTTCGCACAAGGCCATCATTGCGAACGAATTTTTGACCAAACACTCAACAAATACCATCGAGCAACCACCATTTTCACCAGATATGGCTCCAGCTTCTTTTTCCTAAACTCAAATTACCACTTCGTGGCACCCGTTTTCAAACTGAACTCAATTCCGGAAACAGCGGAAAAATGTTTTGATGATTGGATTATTCGTTGGCGTAAGACACACTCTGAAGGAGCATACTTTGGTGATAAAATTTATTTGGATGAATAACAAACATTTTGTGTATTATTAATCTTTTCCCGGTACTTTCTTGACAGAGTAGTACATAGGTAATTCAACAATTATAAATCATGTAACGCGAAAGTTTGAAGGTGCGAAAATCTAAGTACCTACGTATATTCATTTTTACAATCAAATTGGAGATTTTGATTCGTCATAGACACGTTTATTTAGTATCCAAGAGGCATAAAGGACTTTTATAATAATAATAATATTTGCCTACATCAGACACACAACGCCATCTAGTTTCAAACTAAGCTAAGTCTGTACAACGAAAGCTTTAATGACTGATAGAATACTTATATACTTTTTTGTAAATACATACATATTATAAATAGAAACACCCAGAAGACCATATTAACATTTGGTCCAACCCAGGAATCGAACCAGAGACCTCAGCACAGCACTCGCATACGCTACCACTGCACTACTGAGGCAGTCAATACTTATGCATCTGTAACCCTAAACCTAATAAAATAATACTACGTATTTTCCCTTTATTACATAGCAGTCATACACATATATTAGTTTCTTTACCTTAAATTATCATTTACAGAACCTGATTAACTGTTATTGTAATTAATGAAAGGTCTTGTCTTAAAATAGCATCTGTTGCATCGTTTAAGAATATTTTTGAATAAATATTTTACGATACACTTAAACAAAGACTAGGGAAGTAGGATCATCTTTATCGACGCTGAATTCTAATCTACTCTTGACATTTGCAATTTAGTCCAAAATTATGTGATTTAATTTCAGATAGTAAGTTTTAATTTGCATTTCCATTGATTTGATTAATTAACTTAGCGAAGAACCATCTGTGCTTTGGTTTTTTATAACTTGACGACTAAATGTATTTTAATGGCATAATGTTTGTCGATTGCAGGTCTTTGGAGAATGAGATAGTTTTTTTCTTTAACTTCTGGTCAACACTATCACATCAAATGATATTTCCTAAACAGAATTTCCTCTACCGGTACATTAAATAAATGTAAAGGTCGGGTTTTATAGCCACACACAATATTTTTAAAGAAATATCTATTGTTTATGTTTCATTATTTTTTGAGCATTGTTAGGATATTTTGTTTATTTTAATTTGCATTATAAGAAATTTACTAAAGAAACACCGTGTTATTAATTTGTGACCGCAATGCCAAAGCGGCCGGCGAACCATCCTGCCGCGAAGACACTACGCACCTTTAATAAAAAACTGAATTAATTCAAAATTTACGTTTTTCGAGTTTTCAACAAATACCAAATCAACTTCATCAGTAGAACACGAACAATCTAACAGCCGACTCGATACCATGAAAATGGCAAAGATAAGAGATCGTCGTTCTCTTTTTGACCAACTCGCACGTACATGAATGTCAAACTTTAAATGCGATTTCCCACAATATTGAAATTCTAAGTTAATTCAGTTTATGAATAAAGGTGCGACTATACCTTTAACCCCAGTCGAGTCAGAAATTGCTAAATATTTCCCAAAATAACGTAACGTGACAAGTACATTTAACTAAATGCACGATATACAAGACATTCAGAAATGTATCTCACTGGTATATATATGGTACTAATAATTAATTATATGACTTTACTTACTTGAGTGAAATCAGCAGCCATAAAAGCTTGCTCAGCTCCGATGTATCCAATAACGGGCAGCAGTAACAGCTGATACTTGTGTCTCAGTTGCTTTAGTGTCACCGCCAGTAGGCGGACTCCTGACTTTCCCTGGCATTTTGTTTTACGACCTGCCGTGTATCTGAAATAGCGTTTGTTCGACTTTTTTCAAGGATCAAGGAAAATTTTAAGGAATTTTATAGGTTATTATCAACAATCATAAGCAAATCCTTATACGTGAGTGAAACTGCCGGGAAACTGCTACTAAAAACATTTTTGTCTTCTTCTTATGCTATGCAATAGTAGACAGTAAGTTTGGAGGTAATTTAATTCTATTATAGACAGATGTCTGGAGTAAATTTTGTAATGTGTTAAGTAAATAATCCAACTTAAAATTAATAGTCTCTGTATTCCTAGGATTATACTTATGCTCTTTATAATTTTAACATTAACAGTTTTAGAGTAGTTTTTAAAATATATCCCTTAACTAAGTGTACCTAAATTTTCAAATATAGGATAGAGTTTGCAGTTGTAAGGTATCCTATACATTCATACTCCAAACTCTTTAACTACAATGTTAAGTTTGTTCTAGAGATGTCTAGTTCTAGTTTTATATTCAGTACCGAGCACCCTGCTATTATTACTGTTCTCCTCAGAACTACTTGGAAACTCAATTAATAAATTTCATACCTGGTGAGAGAGTCAACGCCGAACGCAACGAGAATGACCGCAGCTGCCATACACGCTAGGAATGTGCCAGCTATAACTTTGATCTTTAGATCTGATGGGGGCTCAAGATTTGCATTCTCCTGCAGTACAGAATTACAAGATATTAAAAAAAGTAATTTCCGTGACGCTGACGGATTAATAATACAGAGTGCCATCACTGTACATCCCGTGAGTGTCGTGAGAACCGACTAAGGGAGAAAACTATGCAGGATAACATCACTGCAAAGAAAAGGAAAACTTGAAACAAACCCTTTTTGTTTTTTTTTACGTGTGGAAACCCCCTCGGACCGTCACCCCACCGAGGTTTGCGGCGGGGCGGTGTGTGGGAATCGAACCGACTAAAATTACACGGTGTACCACTTTGCGCCTGAGATAGGAGGGGTCTGCGAACAACTGATATTAACAATTTTTGGGTAAACTCTCGATTTAGGCGACCTCCGTCACACGCGGACGTCGCCCCCTCGCGGCTGGCCACTATAGCGGATGCAGGAGAAAACCCGCAATGCATGCAATCGCAGTGGTAACAGGCGGGACTCAATACCCTCTTAGTGACCGAGTGCAGGTACTTCCCAAAGCAGCCGTGCCCGGACAGGACCTGCGTGAGTCGGAAGGAAAACTTGAAACAAACCCTAAACCAACCCATCTGGCTAGGCAGTAGACCAAAACCTCCCTTCTAAAGAGAGACCTATAGAGTCCAGCAATGGACTATTAGAGGCTCTTGGTGATGGTGATGAAATAAGTCTGGTTGCTTTACGCCAAAAGGTACAACTTGACGCCAACTTATCCAACACCATCCAAATTTTTACACATATTTAAATTTTTATGCATACATGTAGGTTATTTCCATTGCAGAAGTTAATACCACATGTGGCTCCAAAATCTATGGTTGGATGTGGACTTGTATTATTGGTGAATACCGCAGCAACACTCGATGAGGTCTCGTTAGTAAGTCGTGGCTCATCACCGATTGACGATGATAAAACTGTAAAATCACACACTCTTTAGATTTGAAGGACAGGTGAAAAAAAGGGATTATTAAAAGGGTTAGGAGGTTTTCTGCGTAAGTTATAATACAATATAATATAAAAAGTTTAGACTTACAATGTCAATTTTTTGTATGTTTCATATTCTGTAATTAATCTTTACAATACCCACATAACACCCTTTTATTTCAATAATATTTTTTAGAGAGGTATTAGCATTTTTAGCATTAGGAATATATACTGTGTCGTGGAGGACTTTACAAACATGTATGAAACGAACACAAATAACACCCAGACTCAAAAGAACAATTTGTGGATTATACAAAGTGTTGTCCCATGTGGGGATCGAACCCGCAACACTTAGCACAGTAAGAAGCGACGAGGTGACCGCTCAAACCCCTAAGCCATGGTATAATGACAGTCTTCAGTCTTTTTTAACCCATAAATAGGATACTTGCAGTGATTGACGATGTCAATTGCAGTCGATGACGTGTTGATCTAGTGATAAGGGATCCTGATGGTTGTAACTTCTATTCCCATCCAGGGCACTTGTTCTTTGTATGGGTGTAAATTATAAAAACATTTTAAAACTATTTTAGTGGAACCTAAAATGGACGCTATGCAATTGATTGTAACACACAAAGTATTTAAAAGGTATATAAAAAGCTGTAGATATTAATACTAACTTTAATAGTTATAACTCATAATCTAATAATGTTAATTACATTAGGTTAGAACATAGAGATTCATAGTCTTGAAAAAATTTAACACCTTTTAGAACCTGTGTTCACACAAGATTCGAATTGAAAATATAAAGGATTGTTAAAAATAAAAGATTCAATCTGTGGGTACTTCTGTTTCAGACAATAGGAACAAATTTTGCATGGATTTGCTCAGCAGCGTGGAGTCCAAGTCTTGCCGAAGGTCGTTTGGTATATTATTGGTCAACTTTCACTAGTCGTTTGTCTTTGTTCAGGAAGTGGACGGAAGTTTAACCTTCACAATATGACAGTAACAATGCTGAGTTCTGATTTATTGTGGATGTTTGACAAGAAAATTAGACTATGATATTTTATTGCAATTTATAAGTCTAAGTATAATTTTAAAGAGTCTTCATTCTTAGACGAATATATTATATTTAGCTAATCACTCTTAACTACGTAAAATATTTTTGTTTTTACAAGTAATTTGCATTTTATTTATCCATTACTACTTTTAGTTCTATTTTATAGAGAAAAATTAATTTGCCTCAAATGAATTAAATAGTACAAAATAAGATTATTTCTGGAAAAAAAGTTTAGGCATAACCAAAAAATATTATTCTTATTACATATGGTGGTCATATTTTAATAGGAAAAATATTTTGTTTCATACTTATAAACCAATCTAGTATCTAAACTTACTTGCTGATGATATAAGATTTCCCCAGATCTGCGCCATCTGATAGAACATGAAGAACAAGCCAAAGAACCTAACCACTAGTACTTCCGCCGATACCCCTGATAGCTTCGCGTAAGGCTCCGCTACCTGAAAATATAATTGAAAATATAGTACTACACCAATAAAATACTAATAATGTGACCGCAATAGTATATCTTATGACGGTGACTATAAAATATACTTTGTCTTAATTTCTTATTATACGAGCGGGTTATTAATCGATCATAAGTCTGAGGGACTTAAATTAAAAATAAAATCTAATAAATAACCGAGAAATCTATTAAGACATTATTGAAAGAAGATTGTAACACTACACAGTGGGCCGTGTGCTTATATAATAGTATGCGTATTTACATTCTTACTAAGTTTGTAAAAAGCATTTTTTTATACAATTGCAAAGTACAAAAAAGCTAATTGTATATTTTATTTTTTGTTGTGTATTTCAAATATAATAATAATATATTGGTATTGAATATTAATGACTTATCGATATCAATGACCGGTTGCCTCTCGTATTAAGGCTAGGCTTTTTTACTCGTCATGTTATTTTACAGAAGCTCCCTTTTTTATTGGCATAATGATGTTATTCGCTGACCGGTAGGATTATAAACATTAACCTTTTTTTAGACCAAATATAATATAGCCTTTTAATGATTCTTAAATAGTGCCTACTCTATCGGGATTCAATTATAGACTCGGGGTAGATCTAGACTTATTCTTCTTGATGAATAAGTAGTCGACGTTCAATAGGTTTTCGACTATATATGTGCTCGAGTCTAACAAACAACTTCATCATCATCATCATCATCAGCCTATCGCAGTCCACTGCTGGACATAGGCCTCTCCCATTGCACGCCACTTAGATCGATTTTGGGCTTCTCGCATCCAGCTTACAAACAACATATTCAACAAACAACTTACCACAGATAAATATGTGCACTTAGCGCACCATAATGGGCCTCCACCAAAGCCGACCATCATGCCAGCCGGTACCAAAACATAGAGCGCAGGGTAGAACTGCGCAACTATGAATGGCATATACGCTATGAAGGATACTGATACCGCCCACTTGCAGCCAAGCCATCTTTAAGAGAGTAAATGCTTAGAAGTTATCGGTAATGAATAAAATGCCTCTAAGACATGGTTCAAACAAAGGAGATTCGTTTCATAGGCAGAAAATTTTTGTTTGCATCATTCCCAAAGGACAATGGCAGGTCCCCATAAATATTTTTATTTGAAGTGAAATGGTATCGATTAAATATAAAAAATGCCTAAAACACTGGTGTCTGGCTTTATTTATTTTAAAATTTTATTTTGTATTTCAGCCAAAGCTTTAAAAAGCGATTATCGATAAAACGTTCCATAATATAATAATGCCATCACGCGTCCCTAGTCAGTTATACGTAAAAGAGAATATGTCAGACATTACGTACTTAGGTCAAATTAGTTCTTAAAAAAATCCTATCTCTTATAAGACTTATACAACACACGGTAAATCGTAGATTTTTTTATTAAATTTACTCTGAGTCAATTTTTTAAAGGCTCAAGGTTTAAGTAAATATGTTTCTGCCATTGTTCTTTGTCTTTGAGTTTTAATCTTTGAATATGGAATGAAATTTCTGTAATCATTATTTACCTGAATGTCTTAATTAATACAATTTAAATAGGCAGTTTACATTTACGTACAATATTAGTGGTACAAATGCTCCGAATTGTAGGTTTTCATTCAATTTATATTTATAGAAATTATAGATTTGTGTGTACCTTTGTCGGTCATAGTATAACAACTTAACGATTTAACCTATTGCATATTTAAATAATGTACCGATGTATTTGTTTCTGTGACGGTTGATTTTAAATAAAATATTCAGTCATTAAAGATATACAGTATTATAAAAATAACAGGTTATAACTTATTTTTTCTACTGTATATAAATGTAACTTACTTGATAACTACAGCAGGCAGAAGTATATTGCTCAATATAAGTGAGAAGTAGATAGCTGCTAGCGTGAAAGTACCTGCGCCGGCATCACTATTCACTGAACTCTGCAGATTAGCGGTACCGTGAAAGGCCGTAAAATGAATCATGAAAGCGAATCCCAAAACCAGGATGTTGCGGTTGATACGCCATTTTTCATTTGTACCGACGGTAACAGAAGTCTCAGGCATTTTTGTACCTGTAATTTAATAAACAAGGTTTTAATACTTTCACAGTTTTATCTCCCCAAAGGCATAATTAACTTTTTTTTCTATGTTTGGGATAATTACAGCTAACATTTTAAAAACATAAGACACAATACATGAACGTCTGATGGGAATTTACAAATATCACAGAAATACACGCGTAACATTAAATTGGAAGTCAGTAAACAAACACAAAGCCAGCAACCGTAGTCAATTAAAAAAATCTTAGCTAAAACGCTTTTTAAGTTTAGAAACACTGGTACCATATAGGTCTACGAGTATTTCTTATTGAGATTTTTTTTTATTATATTGTCTACTCGCACGTATTACAAATGAATTTTGTCTATTCGTACTCTTTGCGCAAGGAATATACAAAAGACTAGGATTGCGCAGAATCGAGGGATGTGTTACTAATCCTATCTTACCCAACAACTCTGGGCACTCCACTGAACCATTTACGATTTTGGATAAGTATGCTATGTCTGCAATATGTCTACGCTCATCCAGGGTTGAATCTGAAACTTTTAACATCTGGCAGTGTAACTAGATGTGTAATAACGAGTTTTATGTTGTAGAAATCGCAAAAACCGCTTCTGTATGCTTTCGATTCTATCTACATATATATATGTTATAGATCGGGTTCCAGATCTTAGACACAAATTCTAAGTGGCTGCGAACAAACGTGCAGTAAAGGATTTTAAATGTTTCAACTTTTTTGAAATCCGAAGAAAGCCTTAGAACAAAACGCCGCCACCACAATAGATTGAGCACCAAAATACTCGAGTAAGTTATCTTTTTAGAACACTGACAGTCTCCTAGGAGTCAAAGGGTAATAAGGCACTGACAAAGTCATAACCACGTATAATATCAAAATAACTACGTGATCGTAGTTATTTTGATGTAGGTAACACATGAAAACCCTAATTTGGAACATGATGCATGGTGAAGAACTGCAGATGACGATGGACAAGCTCGCGGCTGAACACTATGCGACAACAATTGAAAAATCATTGTATCAATAAACCATTTTAAAATTATAGGAGTTACGACTTCAACTTCCTCCTACGACTCCAACCTTTTCATTTTTAGCTTTTGCCTTAGTGCTTATAAAGGCAAAAACCCAGCGCCCTTTTGTACTTGCAAAAACAAGTGCTCGGTGCGGCTTCTAGAGCTTACTTTGAACTCTATCCCCAGATTTAATTCCTCAAAAGCACATGTAGATTACGCTAGGTACGTCTAAGTTTAAACGATTTAGCTAAAGCATTACAAGCACTACTACAATTCCATAAGCTAAAACTTCACGAACACCTTTGCCTAATTTAGATTCAAGGATATGTCAGTATGTTCTAATTGTATTTTAATACTACCGTTTCAAACTGGTTAACTACAATATTATATATCAATAATGATTTAATTACTTAAACCTAATTATAAGACACTAATATGGTAGGTTGCTTTATCTTTTAGTGCAGACTTACATATTACAATACAAAATTCCTTGCTTCTGAAACTGACTGATGTAACCCTGACTCGTCAACCTTTTATGACGTTGTGACATAGGATTAAGTAGTTCGATTTTTCCAGAATTATATCGAATGTGGAGGACAGCGCCATCTAGTATCATGTAAAGTACAACTATTGAGATTGTGATTAATAATTGGTGGTCCGTAAGGCATACCAGTCTGCACCTAAATGAATACGTTCCACTGCGTATGATAAAGTTGAAGTCACAACACAAAAGACATTGGTTAACAGTGAATATAAGCCAATCTTGTATAGATTAAAGGCTTTTAAAAATTCTTACGCTAAAAACAAACAACCCAATATTAACACTTTTTTATAAAAAATACGAAAGTCTATTAAAAAGAGTGGTACTAACATCTAAGAGATTGCATTATAAACATAAAATAATAACATCTGAAAATAAAATGAGAACAATGTGGAGTGTGATAATTTATCGCACAAATAGATATATAAAAAGGACAAGCAAAATATGCAGTTAAGAATAAATAAAACTATTTCTTCAGATCCTACACATATTCACATCAAACAATTTTAACAACTTTTTTACATTTATAGAAAGCAATACAGGTAGTATTTAGTAGTTCGTCTGACAGGTTAACAAATAATGCAGAGAGCACACACAACACGTCTAATGCACACTACACAGAAAACACTATGTTCTCCAGTCCAGTCGAACCCTATGAAATTAATTTCCTCATAATCTCTTAAAAACAAGAAAAGCCATGGTATGAACGGGATTCCACCTGTTGTAGTAAAATACTGCGGTGATGAACTAATATTACCTTTTTATAAGCTAATTAACCAGTCATTTGAAGAAGATGTATTTCCGGAACTATTAAAGCATGCATTAGTTAACCGATCCACAATAAAAACAACAAAACTGAACCTGACCATTAAGTTACTCTTACTTACAGCCTCTAAGCTCTTTGAAAAGGTTATGAGTAACCGCATTTGTTCATTTTGAGAAAAATATAAAATATTTCGAGTCCGTGTAGTGACGGATTAAGAATACGGAATGTCACTACCCCAATTCATCCCGTGGGTGTCGTTAGAGCCGACTAAGGGCGCAAAACAACGCAGGACACCAGCACTGCAAAAAGAAGGAAAACTTGACACAAACCCTATACCAACCTGTCTGGCCAGCGTGGTATAGAAGCCCAAAACCTCCTTTCTAAAGAGAGGGCTATGTCCAGCAGTGGACTATTACAGGCTGTTGATGATGATGATGATAAAATATTTAATGACTGCCAAAACAGTTCTTGTAAAAATAAATCGACTGCCCTGGCAGTATTTAAATACATTTAGAAAGCCCTAGACATCTTAAATAAAAAGTAATACGCAATAGGACATTTATTATATACAATCGGAATACATGGTACGGCCCATGAATGGCTTACATCATACTTGACAGACCGACAGCAGTTAGTAGAAAGAAATAAGCAATACAATAGAAAACATTCGAACAGACGAAATAAATGTTACAGCTTCAATTCCTCAGGGTAGTGTAATACGATGTCTACTATTCCTCAATTTCCTCATATATATTAACGAACTACCAAAAATAATAAACGGACCATGTGTTTTGTTTGCAGATGATTTGAGTGAGTGAGTTTGATGAGTTTGAGATTTAGATATATATAATAATATTATATATTTATGATACTAAAATAATTATAATTAATCGATCAAATAATAAAAATAAAAATTGAATTGAATAAACAATCAATTAGTTATCTTCCTCTCTCCCAAACAAACTGTGCTGCGTCCGACAGGGTTCATAATTGTTGCCGCTTGGTTATCACCCATATATTTTCATTATGGAAGCAATAAAGTATTGAACATTGAGTAATTACTGCGTCACGAGAAGAGAGTTATTGGCCGTAGTGAAGACACTACAACATTTCAACAAATATTTGATTGGGCGTTAATTCCATCTCCGAACTCACCACGCGGCACTTAAGTGGCTGCTACAATTTAAAAATCCTGAATGATTCTTCATGAGATGAAGTCGTGAGATGGATTAAGCTACTACAGGAATATGACTTCGTGATTGAATATCGCAGTGGAAAATCTCATGGTAACGCAGAGGCATTATCAAGAAGACCTTGTCCTGAAGACTGCAAGCACTGTGCCAAGCAAGAAGTAAAGGAAGCTGTGCAGGAGGAGGATGCACATATCAAGCCGATTCTCGAATGGCTTAAAGCTGATACTCCTAAGTCTCACTGGAGCGATGTTGTGTCGATAAGTTTAACCACGAAGAGTTATTGGACTCAATGGCATAGTTTGGTTATCCAGGACGGAGTCTTGTGCCGCAAATGGGAAAACGCTAGAGGAGACAGCTGTCATCTGCAAATGGTTGTCCCTAAAGCTAAGATACTGGCTGTCCTGCAGCTCTACCATATCGGATGTTCAGGAGGCTACATAAGCGTTAGGAGAACCTTGTTAAAGATAAGGGAGAGGTTCTACTGGATGATGTTGAGGCCTGGTGTCACAAGTGTACTAGTTGTGCGGCCGTGAAGGGATCCCATACACGTGGCAGGGGTTCTATGAAATTATACAATGTTGGTGCCCCCTGGGCAAGGATTGCAATAAATGTAGCGATGTAGTGTATCATAAAATAAAAAATATTATATGTTATTTAAGTTTCATGTAAGCAAGCCATACATACAGTAGACAGTACATACTTTGATCAAATGTGTCCAATAGTTATCGATTGAATAGATAAGACATGACATGACAGACAGTGGCGGGGTAGCGCGTCATTCTAGCCACAGAGTACATTGTAATATACTGAAAATTCTAGCACACGGCTACACACGAAGAGAAGCGTTTCCCTTCCCCGCTACACCACCCGCTACCCGCTGACATCTTGAGTACCTCGTCCCCGCCACCGTCTGTCACCCCGCAGGACGGTCGCGCGCGACGTTGATGGACTATAGTAGTATGTGCTTACCTTTGTAATGAATATGTTCACAAGGCTACCTTTTAATTTTTGTCCTAAAAGTTATTTTATGTGAACAATGAACAATAGAGTTTCCTAAAAAATTTAATGGTGAATGTATATTTGTTTTGTTACACTTTCACGCCTTAAGTGCTTACGAAGACTTTACACAAGACGACGTGAGTGACGTTGCGAGTAAAATTGAGAATGATTTTTCACGTTATTTAAGTTTAGATAACATAGATAAATAATTATGCCATGTTAAGGCTGAAAAATTGTTTTATAGTATGATCGTTGACCCCAAAGTTCCTTTGTATTGCAGTTAAGATTGGTTTCCAGCTCCCTCCTAAAACCTATGCGGCACTATCGCTCGTTGGTCATCCCGGCTGAATACTCAAATTTCAGCCTCTCTGCCTTTCTGCCAACTCAGCATTCTATTCAGTCATCATCGATTAGGTAGTGCGGCAGCATGGGATTCTTTCCAATTTCCTGGGCTGACACTAGGATAAATTTTGGTCCAACCTGACA